AGGCACTACCACTGGATTACAAGGTACGCCTATCCATAATCCTGATATATTGCTGTACCCTATACTCCTTCACACCACCGCAGCGTCAAGAGAAGAAAATAAAGGGAGATGGATGTGGCCTGCCAAAACAATTCCTGGAACAGCGTTCCAGACTGTTCTGTGGAATATTGAGCAACTTTTCACAAACTTTTTTTTTTGAATTTTACCAGGTAAGGCCCGCTAAGCTACATAGCTCTTTCTCAAAAGCGACCTGGCCACAAATGATAGTTCAACGAAGTGGCTTATCACGTGGAAATTTGTAGCAACCAAATATTCTAAACGCTTGTTTCTAAATGTGGAAGCAAAAACCGGGGGACCTGCAGAAAAATCCATATGATCACGGGGAGAGAGACATGCAAACTCTAAATGTACACGCATCAGCGTTGGGATCGAACCCACAACCTCCTGTATGCCAGGCGAGGTAATGAACATGTCAACACTATGTCAGGCGAGGTAATGAACATGTCAACACTGAGAACCACGCATGTATAGAAGCAAGATATGCTGATTCCTTAAGCTGTGCATTTCATTTTTATGTTATTCTAATAAGGACAAATTAGGTAATTTATGGAGCACATTTCAACGTAAAATTTTTATTTTCATAATGGATAGGACAAAAGTTTAGCATATTTTATCTGGCATGTGTTGGTGATAATTCCCATTATTAGACATGAGCCAGCTATTGAAATCCCTTGTTCATAAGCAAAGTTTCTCCATATAACGGTTGCTGTTGACTTTACACCAATTAGCACGACTCCCTCATGAGAAGAAATCATTTTAATGATCCAGGCAGGGCTGATGAGTTGATGGGCTACGTTGATGCTAATTAAGATTTTAACTCCTCTGGCTCGACCTGCCATATTTTCTTTACCAGTTTGGAGTGGCAAATTGGCCAACTTGGCAGAAATTAAAATTTTAGCCATTTTCTGCGTTGTGGAAACATATGAAGGTTGGTCAGGGCTAGAGCAGAGCTGGGCTGGGTATAGGCATTTGGCAGAAACAAAATGGATGAAATCATTGATCAAAAAAATGTCACCAGTCAGAAATGCGGCTTTTCTCTTGCAAGGGCGAGCACATTTTGAAAGGTGTGATCAAGGCATAGTGTCCCTTTTAAATGTGCATTGCTGCCCAACACTGGGAGGTGTGCAGCCCAGCGCCTTTTTGCTCATGCCGCTGCTGGTTGTCGGGGGCGCATCTCAGGCACCGCACTAAAGGTCACCAGGGGCCGCCAGTAGCCCGCAGGCCTTGCAATCAATGAAGAGCGCAGCTGTAGGGCCATCACTTGAGCGAGCTCCAAAGAGATATTTTGTTGTTCAGTAATTGCGCACCGTGTTGCAAAAGTGTGAGAACTGAACAATCGCCTCCATATAGACGGTCTCCCTGGCAAGCACGGTAACCACCATTTTCGGTTATCCTGCTGTGCTAAAAAAAATGAAAAATATAAACAAAACGTCAGTTTCTATTAATGTGCATGGGGGTGGGGGGGGTTTGTAAGACTTCTGTTGCACAGAGTTTGATTATTACGTGAGATTGTGTTTTGATGGAAAATATTAAATCGCTTGCTTACGCCACTGCTGGCAGAAGGACCACCACTAGGGGGCTCTCTAGGCCGCAACTCTAAATGGTGTTTTGGTTCTTCTTTCACGCTGGCCAGCCAACTTGGAAGAGGTGGGAGTCCCCACACTTTATTACACCACACGCGACCTGCCGATTGACCTACTATGGTCGGTGGTGCTAACGTTAAAAGTAACCGCCACTTTTTTCTTGTGTTGCAGTCAAAACGTCGTGAGAATTTTATTGTTTTATATATTTTTTTATTATTTTATTGTTTCCCTTCAACGTTACTTTACCGAAAGAACCAAGAATATGAATCCCTGCAGTCACGAATGCTTTAAATCAAATTTTATGGTGCACCCATTTATGCCGCTGGGTGGACAGAGGCAGGGGAATTTAAGATACTTGCATCATTTTCTTTGGTTCTTTCGGTAAAGTCACTGTGACTTTACCAAAAGAACCACAGAAGATGAATCCTTGCAGTCACGAAAGCTTTAAATCGAAACTTGCATCATTGTTGCAACTGCTATACGCCTGGAGGTCGAACCAAGAACCTCTGGTTTTCCACTGAGCATCGATATCAGTGATGCTGCCGTACCGTCATGAATAGTAAGTACCGTGAACTCGCAATCCAGAGGTCGCCAGTTGAACTCGATGTCCTGGCACAGCTGTTGAAACAATGGATCACCTTTCTTAAATTCTCCTGCCTCCTCTTGTCCACTCAGCAGTATAAGTTGGTAACACCGCCGGCAGATCGCCGGTGGTGGGGTAAAGTGTGGCTACTCCAAGCTCTTCCAAGACGCTTGCATCAGCTTGGAAGAATAGGCCAAGCACTCTCCGGAGGGACACGAGAGCTCCCTCGAGTGGAAGCCCTTCCACCAGCAGTGCGCGTGAGCAAGACATTTCAGGGCTGCACCTTTACCCGTATTATTATTAACATTAAGTGAACCTTATGGCGGGACCCCGGGGTCCCATAAGCCTCCGGCTGTCGCATAAACATTATATTATAATGTCAACATTATATGATATATAATGTAAACATATTATAATGTAAACAAACACTTTGCTCTTTTTCACCAATGGATTTGAAGGATGGTGGCAAGTGTTGTTTTGTTAAACTATCCTCTTTAAAACTGAAAACTACTTACCTGCAGTACCTCTATTTAAATACACTATCGAAAAAAATATTTACACCCGTCTGTCAATCGTGTTTCTCAGTGTGGATTTGTGAACACACTTTGTAAACAGTACATAAAATAGAACGCGTTTTCAATGCGCTGTTCATATTGTAACACAAGTTTATACCAATGTTACTCTACAGAGTAGTGGGTCGCCGCTCCTCTTATCCGCACTGATACGAACGGTATGTGGGGACGATGGCTTAACCGCAAAAAAAACCTATCTGCACAGATGCATACGGACAAGAGAAGTATTATAAAACAGGAGGAATTAACGGTGCAATGCATCTCATTTGTTAAATATCTGCAGATAATATGATTGTCATCGATTAATCCTGGCTGCAGACATTGGTAGGTCACAAATAATAATGAAGATAAGAGAGCAGCTTCACTGTATTTTGCATACCGTTTTGACAAATAAAGGACTTAAGTCGTGTAGGCAGTTTGAGCAGCTTTGGATAAGACTTATGATCCTGCCCATACCCGAGCGTGGAGTGCATTCGCTTGTTCAGCTCTTCTGCATATTCGTCCTCGCTGCTGCTGCGCTTGGGCATGACGTGACAACAGAACGATCCGCGCCAGGTGGGTCACGGCGTTTATGTGCGCGGTGGGGACGGAGTCGCCAACAATAAAGAAATTGATGACGATTTTGACTTCCGTTTATTCGGGACCCCAGGGTCCCGCCATAAGGTTCATATGTGGCATCATGTATGTACATGTGCTGCCACAGCTATCTCTCAATGCACGCAGCCGTTCACCCACAGGCGCACATTAATGAATGTGTCCGTGTTTGTGCCATGTACTGTGGAATTGTTGGTCAACCTCGCCCAGGGGGGGTTAATTGTCGACAAATCACTTTCAGTTGCCGCAGTCACCGCGGTACGGATTGTACCGATTCAACTGAGCAGCACAACCTTCTTCGTTGCTGACTAAATGGGGGCGACGTTTTAGAGAAATATCTCCCAAGGCTGCCCCCATCGCCGCCTGGCAACAGCTCAAAACGTAAAAAACAAGCGTTTCGGCCCTGTCCAGTTATATAGGTAACTTAACGCTTCAGTAGAATTAATGCCACTTCTTTCCCCCCCCCACCACCTTCCACCCCCCTGCCCCCACCTCTGTAGACATTCAAGTAATTCTAGGTGCCAAAACACTTGACTCAAAATAGTCAATATTGCGGCCGGGGAAATCTTACCGAGCACCAGCAAAGACGAACGCCTATCCACCAATGCACTGGGCCAACTGCTTTTTGTGTTTAGTTTGTTGTCCTTTGCCCGCACCTCCGATTAGCACGGTTGGTTACGTAGGGTGCGAAAATAAGTTCAACTTACATACGTACAACCAACACTCTCCGATTAGCACGGTTGGCTACGTATGGTTCACACCTCCGATTGCATAGTTGGCTACGTACGGTGCGAAAGAAGTTCAAAATACTGGGCATGCAACACCCGTTCCACAGGTCAACCACTCACTTCCCCTCCTCACTTAGCACCGCTCGCTTGGTTATTTTAAAAAGTTCAGCCAAATTTCGATTTAAAGCTTTCGTGACTGCAATGATTCATCTTCTTTGGTTCTTTCGGTAAAGTCACGTAGAATGAGCTGTCCTACCAGACAGTCTCGTCCCTTCACCTGATGAAGGCCGCTTGTGTTGTGGCCGAAACGTCGTGAGAATATTATTGTGTTATTTTATTTTATCAATTTATTATTTTATTCTCATTCTACGTGGTGACTTTACCGAAAGAACCAAAGAAGATGAGTTCAGCCAAACCCATAAAATCCCAACAATGAGCTCTGTAAATAAGGACGCGCACGACCTGTAACACCGGGCAGTGTGATATCGATGGAATGTGTACCACGCTTCGGAAACGAGACGTGAAGATTTTTCCACAACTCTGGCTGTCCGCCTGATGATGCTGTTTGTAATAACGTCGTACTTGGAATTCGACATCTTGTGGGTTTGCTCTCCAACACACCGTTGTGCTTTACGAATAATGAACCGACACGTTTTGTTTACGTGACAAACCTTACTAATTGGCCGTGTCGGGACGATCGATCTCTTCGTAAAACGAAAACACCTTGATTATTAAAAATAAAGGACAAAGCAACTTTTTTCCCGCAAACGGATGGAACGATTTATTGACGTTTAGCTTTGCTCACACGCACGCGTGAAAGATAAACTCATGAAGTTTGAAACAAAACATTTTAAAAAAAATCCACACGTTCGTTTTGCAGGTTCAGCGAGTTCTTCCGAAAGCTCTGCGAGCAGGACCCGAGGTACCCCTGCCCGGCGCTACTGAGGCTCCAGCGTGCGCTGCTCATGCCCAAGACGTCAAGCGTCTTCGGCTTCGTGTACCGGCAGCAGCAGCAGCAGCAGGCCTCCTCCTGGGCGTGGAGCCCGTGGAAGGATCTGGTGCTGCCCTTCCACGTGGGCGATCAGCTCGAGGTGAGGCACGCATCGAGGCCTTTGCTCTTGCGGTTGAGAAGCCTTCGGGGGCAGAGCAGTTGTAAGCCAATACGCGAAGCTCAATGCACTTCCAACGATGACCGCGTTCAATTGGGTTGCGTTGGAGTCCTTAGAGCGCACTTATGGGAGCGTGGTGGCAGAGCGGTTAGCACGCTGCTGCTGGTGCTTCACACTGAAAGCCACAACCTGAGTTTGATTCCCAGCCACGGCGAACATTAGCAGGAAGTAACACTGTAACCGGTCATGCCCTCCACCCACTTAACGAACGCACACGGACCATAGTGTTCGAAGGCCTTCATCCAGCAGTGGATGGAGAAACGATTGTAATGAAATATTTAAACCAATAAAGTCTGTGCCTGAACTTTCACTGACGAGGAATAGCAGTGCCACCGCTGTTTCAGCTACGGGTAACCATAACATTTTTACCGGTGAAATTACCGTAATACAATCTAACAATTATTAACAATTACCAGAAGCGGTGGAGTACACCTATAATGAAGTGACTTGGAGGTTGGGTTGGTAGACCACAACGAGATGGAGCCAGGATGTGTTTGTTACACTAACAACATTTGAAACCCAGCAGTCTATACAACTATGCGGAGTATGTCGGTCTCTGCGTGTGTGGTGTGTGTGGTGCGTGTGTGCGTGTCTGGTGTGTGTGTGGTGTGTGTCTAGTGTGTGTCTGGTGTGTGTGGTGTGTGTGTGTCTGGTATGTGTATGTGTGTGTCTGTGGTGTGTGTCTGGTGTGTGTGTGGTGTGTGTCTAGTGTGTGTCTGGTGTGTGTGGTGTGTGTGTGTCTGGTATGTGTATGTGTGTGTCTGGTGTGTGTGTGGTGTGTCTGGTGTGTGTGTGTGGTGTGTGTGGTGCATGCGTGCGTGGTGTGTGTGTGGTTCTGCGTTCGACATTTGACCATATCCTGGCACGCCAGGAGAAGACAGAAGAGCAAAATGCGGACTAATATCACCAGCCTCTTTGCTATGGAAATAGAGGGTTGTCCCCTCACATCCGTGGGTTTTCTCCAGCTGCCCCTCCCACTTACATAAACACTCATTAAAATAGAGGACTGCAGAGCTTATGGGAATTGTTGAGCTTTCATGTAATTTATCAGCAATTTTGAGATGCAATTGGCATGGATGCCACGAAATTAAACTAAACATTGCTATTGGTATTGTTGTGGCACCGAATTTATCACCATTTCTCTCAAGCGTAAAAGTTCGAATTTGCAAGGGGCTGTGGGTGTGGTCGGGAACAACTCGCGTGAAGTTTGGCGGTGGTGCAGAAGGTGTTGTCGATTTTCCTTGGGCGGGTCGAAGTGGATTGGCTTGGACGCGGCTGCACTCACGGGAACTCCTTCGCTGTCTGCAGATCTTAGGAGGAGGAATGTTTGTATGTACTGTATGTATGTTGAACGTCTTTCGCGCCGTACGTAGCCAACCGTGCTAATCGCGGGTTAGCACGGTTGACAGGTGAAGATGCGTGGTGTGTGTGTGGTGTGTGTGTGTGGTGCATGTGCGTGCGTGGTGTGTGTGTGTGTGGTGCATGTGTGGTGTGTGTATGGTGCATGTGTGTGTGTGAGAGAGACACCTGCTAGTGATGTAGTATGAAGCAGTGGTCTCGTGGTTCGTGCGCTCATTCAAATCTGTGAATGGTGGGAAAACCCATCGCAGCATTAAAATGAATTCAGGCTTGAAACAAATTGATTTCAGCAGCACACTCAGCTTTATCCAAACCATCAACAGGCCACGTTTTCTCAACCCTTTGCGTTGGTGGTCGAGACGACAAAATGGCATCCACATTCAGTTCTTTTGAGCTGGTACTCTGGATAAAGCTGACAGCTTTTGTACATGCAGTGCTGCACACCCATGTGTGTGGTTCATGCACTGCAAAACAATCCTGGTGACGCGGGTTCAACCCCTACCTATGCAACATATCATTGGCCAGCGTTATGTAAACAATGTCCAGAATTAAAGCAACTTCATTCCAAAATTCCTCCTATTTAAATAATAACTGTAAATTAAGGGAGATTTTCACTTGCAGTGTTTTATGCAATTGGCCGCTGGGCATCCTTTCGGTCATCATCATCATGATCCATGGGCAGATAGCCCATAGGTGTCCACTTCACATGTCAGTGGTTTACACTTTCCTCTGTCTTGTGCTAATATGCTAAAGTAGTGCCAAATCTTTCTGGCACCATTACTCTTACGCTGTCAAGCCATTCTCTGTTAGGTCTTCCTCTCTTTCTGGTTCCTTCCATTTTTCTTTTAAACAACACACTTTTGATGTTCCTGTTGTTGTTCATCCTACATCCTATAGGTCATTGGGCCTTAAATGAGTACCCGGGTACAGTGCGTAAATATCATCACGGGTGAGACAGGCAGCTAGGTGTGGGTCTAGGTACACAACACGTGCGCTGTGCCAATGTTAGTGCAAACAGCACTGAATACCTAAGCTGTTGAACCAGCAGGAATATTTTACACAGGGTTCAATGGAAAGTGAATTCGAGAAGTACTGTTGCAGAGTAATGAAGGAATTATGTTGGCTGGATCAATATCCCAATGTCCTTCATATATTTGCTGTGTTTTATATGTATGCATATTATGTATATACATGCATATGTCAGAGTTCATCACCAAACTGCTGAATGTAACACGTGTCAGTGCAGTCGCTAGCCACAAGACACGTGAATAATAATTATAAATGAAAACTGGAACAAAATTTCGGGATTTACAAATCTACCAATTTGAAACATTTCCCATTCTGTACATCGTAGCCTGAGAAAGCAAACAATATGACTTGCTGTCCATTAAAGCCTTGCCCATACGTTGGATCATCTCCTAAATGCAATGAAGGCCAGCAGAGTGATGTGTGATGCCTTCCTCACAGTATGCACACCAGGTGTGGCTAACAGAGGCAATTGAACACAGTGGCCCTGTGTGTGCGCGGTGCATTCACACCAAACTCTATTAGCCGCACCTGGCACGTGGAATGTTAAAAAGCCATTGTAAATTATTCCCGCTGTGTCCGAGTGGGGTATGAATAGCATTAAAGGAAGCCATTTCTGTCGTAGCCTTATACTGACGAAGGTCTATAATCAGGATTTTAATGTAGGGCATTTGTCTATTTAGAGGCACGGCTTTTTTTGTTGTTGTCGTTGCATTCATTGCATATATTTCTCATCTGTTTTTTTTTCATGCTTGCCTCCTCGTGGCTTGTGCTCACTTGTGCACCGTAATTGTGTGAGTTACTGTGGGCAGGAGAGCAGCCCCAGGGAGCACGCAGTCATCAACAAGCGGGGACACATTTGCCAAAAGTGACGTTATTTGTTGCTGCGTGGGTATTGGAGTTAGACGGAGGGGAGGGGAAGCACGAAATGAATAATCATGAGTGTCTTCATATTGCTTTTTAATTTTGTTTTAAGGGCCTCCAGCAATGTCAGTTATTTTCTTGAGACAAAAAACAAACATGCGTGACTTTAATTTGACATTGATCTTTTCTTCATGTAGGCGTACACATTCTGAGAATGAAAGGCTATTCACGATGACCGAATGCTATACAAACGCAAGATTCGTTGACACGAGGAAGTCTTCACTGAGTCTCCAGAATCTGTTTCAGGAGGGTTTTTGCGTTCGACATTTGGCCAATTCTTTTTTCCAGCTCACTGCTGGTGGAGCACACAAACGGCGTGAAACGTTCCCGTGGGCGTTGAAGTACCATATCCTGGCACGCCAGGAGAAGGCAGTAGAGCAATAATGCGGACTAATATCACCAGCCTCTTTGCTATGTAAATAGAGGGTTGTCCCCTCACATCCGTGGGTTTTCTCCAGCTGTTCCAATGTCCTCCCACTTACATAAACACTCATTAAAATAGAGGACGGCAGAGCTTGTGGGAACTGTTGGTGCTGGCTCACTGCTTGGCTCTTTTCCAGCTTTTACGTAATTTATCAGCAATTTTGAGATGCAATTGGCATGGATGCCACGAAATTAAACTAAACATTGCTATTGGTATTGTTGTGGCACCGAATTTATCACCATTTCTCTCAAGCGTAAAAGTTCGAATTTGCAAGGGGCTGTGGGTGTGGTCGGGAACAACTCGCGTGAAGTTTGGCGGTGGTGCAGAAGGTGTTGTCGATTTTCCTTGGGCGGGTCGAAGTGGATTGGCTTGGACGCGGCTGCACTCACGGGAACTCCTTCGCTGTCTGCAGATCTCAGGAGGAGGAATGTTTGTATGTACTGTACGTACGTTGAACGTCTTTCACGCCGTACGTAGCCAACCGTGCTAATCGCAGGTTAGCGCGGTTGACAGGTGAAGATGGCCAAGATGGAGTGGTTGACGTTAGTGGCTATCCTCACTGTGGCGTTCAAGTCGGTGTCTAGTTTGGAGTGACAACTGGCAAGCCCCGTGGGAGTGGAGCGCGCTGCTGTGGGGTAAGGTAGTGGTGGGCAGGTAATTAATTTCCGGACGTGGTTTGTCCTGGTCTTTGTTTCGTCGCAAACTTTCGTCACACGCTCTCATTGGATCTCACCACATCGCTCAGATGTACTTCTTCGGCCGTCTGGAATGCTCTTCCTTCGGATATTATGAAGCCACTGCAGCTATTCAATTTTTAATAATCTAGATTGGAAAAAAACATTTATGTAGCACTGCTTTTTATGTTTAGTTTGTCGTCCTTCCCCACACCACCGATTAGTACAGTTGGATACGTTCAGTGTGAAAGAAGTTCAACATGCATACGTACAGGTCGGACTTCAGTCCAGAGTTTCTCCGTGATATTTTGGGTATGGCTCACCTTTTTTATTTGGTGCCGCAAAAAGACGCGTTTGAGTCGGAATTTGCTAGCCGCATGTTTCAAGTGGAATACAGTAGCCACGCAACCACAGCGAAAAACCAATCGCTGAAGTATGCCAAAGAGATGACTTTGACAAGGGATTATATAGCTGAGGGGAGGGGGGGGAGGAGCCAGGGTGAGTGTGTGGGGGGG